GAGCGCCCAGCGCAGCTTCCCGGCCGGGCCGGCCGCCTCCGCCGCTCCCCCGCCCACCAGGAAAGATGCCCGGGGTCCTGCCGAGTGACAGCACCGGGCCTGCCAGAGGGAGCCCCTCGAAGAAGAACAGGCTTTCGCTGAAGCTCTTCCAAAAGAAGGAAGCGAAAAGAGCGCTGGATTTCACAGAGTCGCAGGAAAATGAGCAAAAGAGTCCCGAGCTCAAAGGCTCTGAGATGTATGTAAAGGGTTCGCGCTCTGAGCAGGGTTTGTGCTCCGAGTAACCGTCTCTGGTTTTATTGTGGAAGGAGCCGAGGGAGAGTTAGAGAAGTTTCGTTTGATGTGGTGGATCCGCGGCGCGGCTCCATCCGCTCCCTCCCGTTGTGTTCTCTCACTTAAGCGTGTGCCTGGACGTGGACTGAATAAACCCCCAAGCCAAGTTAGCCAAGCTGAACCAGCTCGTTACTGTAGCGAATTTCTGTAACTACTTGCTTTTAAGAGAACAAGTTTGTCATGCCCTAGGTGTTTGGCTGACTGGTATAAACTTTTTAATGACTTGCCAGTGTTAGCTCATTTGAAGTTAATATAAGGAAGTTCTGATGCTGAGTTAATAACATTAAAGTATAAAGGTTTGCAAAATAAGTTCTAAAATACTGGTTTTTTAAAGGTTATTTCTGCTGTGAGTAAAATAATCTATTGTGCTGCTTACTGTTCATTAAGGTGTTTCAAGCCCTGAGCAAATCTGTCAACTCATTTCATTGCAGCCAGTGAGGAAATTTAAATAGGAAATGTTGCTTAATCATGATCAACTACAAGTGCATTGGAGACTTTCAGATTTTGTTCTCTTGTGTCAGTGCAGTGCATTATCCCTGTCAATAACTTGCCAGATTCAGTGGTTCCTTTTGGGCTTTTCCTGTTTTTATCCTTTTGGCTTACATCCAGAAAATGAAGTTTTGTGACTCTGGAGCAGGGGACAGTAGTAGGAAATACATGCTAGACACATTTTTTTTAACACAGCCTGAGGAATGAACAAAGAACATACAAAAGTATTGCAAAGAGAACTTTTTTGGCTCTTTAAATCAGTCTCCTCATATTTTTTGGAACATATTTATTGGAACTAACAGCAGATTTGCCTGCTTTTTGGAAAGCTGTCTGGTTTTGCATAGGTTGCTGAAGAGAAGTGTTACAGTTGAGTGCCCAGAGCAGCCACATGGACACTCTCAGAAACACTTCTGACATGATTTTGGGCTGTATTTATAAGTCGTTCATTCTCTGAGCTTGCTGGGAGATGGTGGATGGCCAGGGGAGAGATGTGTGTTCATGCCAGAAGGAGTAATTCTCAAAAATTACCTCTCACACTCTGTTTTCTCTCTTTAACAGCGACCAGGTTGTTCCTGCAGCACAGCCTCCCTCCCTGGTTAGCTGTGAGAAAAAAGACAACATGCTGCCTTTTGTGGGCTTGAACAATCTGGGTAACACTTGTTACCTGAACAGCATCCTTCAGGTAAGATCCTGGCCAGGGGCCTCAAAAAAAACCCCCAAAAGTTAATTTCCTTTTGGCTGAGGAGAAGTGGATGAGATTCGCAGCTTGATACGACCTAGATGTCTGGGTGTACTATGAAGGGAATCTAATTACAGTGGGGGGGGGAAAAGATGATGCTGCAGGAAGTATGTGTGCTGTAGGTTGCCTTGATTGGGTAATTTCTCAGTTTACACACTCTGGGCACCTCCCTGCTGTGAATAATCCTGTGTGCTGTGCAGCAGCTTTGGGAGGTGCACAGCGAGTGTCGATGTGGATGTGGACATGGACTAGCTTCTTACTTGACCATTTATTCTTGTTGTAAACTGTTGCTTTCAGGTATTATATTTTTGTCCTGGCTTTAAAACTGGAGTAAAACATTTATATAATATAATTTCAAAGAAGAAAGAATCTTTGAAGGATGAAGGAGAGCAAAAAGCAGAAAAGGTAACGCCCTGTTCTTTCCCTTGTGATTGTGTGAGTGAGGCTGCACACCAGCAGTGTCATGAAAGTTTAACTCTGATTTCTAATGTTTGTAAGAAATTTTTAGTATTTTTTTTCTACACTGCTATCTCAGGTAAAGACATATTTGAGTTGTTCTGAACTGGAGTGCTCAGAGTGTCTGTAAACTTGTAAGCACAAGTCTTAAGGTTAACAAGAAATTTGTGAAGACACCTCACCATGATTCAGACATTGAGATAATTATGGTATAGTACTTTGAGTGGATAGAAATTGGAGTTTGGGTGAAAATTGTTTGGGTTTTTAAAGTAATGACTTGTCTTGCTTTTATATTTGTTTTCTACTGGCAAAATAGAGTGTCTGAAAGTCACCTGCATCCCACAGCAGACAAAAAAGTGTTAAATGCCTGTTAGAAAACCTGGAGAAGGAGAGAAAAAGTTTAACTTATACAGACAAAACAGCAAGTGGTTTTATTCTTTTTATATTGCAGGGAAATTGTAAAGAAGATCCCCTGGCAAGTTACGAGCTGATCTGCAGTTTGCACTCCTTGATTCTTTCAGTTGAGCAGCTTCAAGCCAGCTTTCTCTTGAACCCAGAAAAATACACAGATGAACTTGCTACTCAGCCACGAAGGCTGCTGAACACCCTCAGGTACAGATTATCTCAAACACAGATTTTCACCTGAAATCTGAAGGTTGTTATCACTGTAGAGCACAGCATTAGAGACTTGTGGGAGGTAGATGGTCATAAATTTGGGGCATCATTACAGGAATTTGGTTTTTTGTTTGTTACCCCTGTGATATAAATTTGGAAGTCAGTTTTCATTTTGAAAGAATGTCATTTAAATCTGGCTGTGCATTTAGAACAGTTCATAGCCATAAGTGTGTAAATATTCTCACTGACCTGAGAAGGTTCACTACTGGGTTGCAGCTGAATTTGTGCTTCAGTGTGTGAGGCTGGAGCTACCTTCCCATGGCTGTCTGTCACAAGAGGACTTCTCTGCAGGCCTGGAGAGGATTCCGCCCTGCTTTTGTATCTGAACTCACTAATTTAAATCTCAAATTGTGTTAACCAGTTAGCAAACAATAACTGCTCTTCATTGCTTTGCTCATCTACTTTCAACAGAGAGCTCAACCCTATGTACGAAGGCTACCTGCAGCACGACGCCCAGGAGGTCCTGCAGTGTATCCTGGGCAACATCCAAGAAACATGTCAGCTTCTGAAGAAGGAGGAATTGAACAAACTGCCCGTGGAAGAACCTAAACTGGAGGAAAAGCCTCATCAGAGTACTGAGAGCAATGGGACTGGCAGCCCTGCTGAGGAGGAGGAGGGGGTACCAAGCAGCCACGCTGGTGAGACAGCTGAAGACAAGCTCCTCAAGGGAAACGGGAAAAGAAAAAGTGATGCTGAGGGTGGCAACGCCAAGAAGAAATCCAAAGTCTCAAAAGAGCAGATTGCAGCAGAAGAAAACCAGAGACAGACCAGGTCAAAGAGGAAAGCAACGGGAGAGAAGCTGGAAAATCCAGCTGATGCCATTGCCAAGTGCCCGGGGGAAAACGAGAGCGCGAAGCCGACGCAGAAGAAGTCGCGGCTTAGGTTAAACTGGTTAAAGTCTTCATGCAAGCAGCCTAGTATTCTGTCTAAATTTTATAGTCTGGGAAAGTTAACTACAAACTTGGGATCCAAGGACCCGGGGAAGGAACACGACTGTGAGCTCCAGGAGTCATCTGTGAAGTGTGAAAATGGGAACGGTGTTAAAGAAGAGTCTCAGGAACCAGCGTCTCCTGGGGAGAGCCATGGTGAAAAAGGAGCTGAAAAAGAACCAAACAAGGAAGGTTGGTGAACAAGGGTATGGGCTTAAAATGAATGTAAGAAATCACTGTCTGTGGGAATTCAGCCTGCAGACAGCATGCCCAACAGATCTCTCTAAATATAAAATTAGAGAAAGTTTTTTATGAATGAAAATTTGGTTTTCTACATGTTTGTAATTGTTTCCTTTTTTTGTGACTTGACCTGTTTAGCTTAGAACTTAAGTATTTCTCTAACATTATGTCATCTTTGTACAATATTAAAAAAAGAAAAGGCTGAATATTACCAGCTTTGTATTATCACCAGTTTTTTGTCCTCCATCCAAACAGGAAGTAGTTTCAAGGTGTAAAGATGACTGAATCAAACCCCACTGGCTGTGGCTGTGGTCTTTACAACCCATACTCCCTCTGTCCTTCCCTGTTCTTTAGTCCTTCCATATTCCCAGCCTTCCCAAAAAATAGCAAGGACACTGGATGTGTTCTAGATGCTAATTAACTGGCAGCCAGTTTTTTGTCCTCCATCCAAACAGGAAGTAGTTTCAAGGTGTAAAGATGACTGAATCAAACCCCACTGGCTGTGGCTGTGGTCTTTACAACCCATACTCCCTCTGTCCTTCCCTGTTCTTTAGTCCTTCCATATTCCCAGCCTTCCCAAAAAATAGCAAGGACACTGGATGTGTTCTAGATGCTAATTAACTGGCAGGTATAGGTTTCTACAACCCATACTCCCTCTGTCCTTCAGTCCTTCCATATTCCCAGCCTCCCCAAAAAATAGCAAGGACACTGGACGTGTTCTAGATGCTAATTAACTGGCAGGTATAGGTTTTGTTTGTGTCAAAGGAACAAGGTACTTGCTGAGGGAAAGGCCTTGTTAATAATTTTAATAAACTTTATACTTGGTACTTAATAATTTGTAACTTTAATTCTGATCCTCCCACCAGTTTTTATAAAAAGTTGAAGGAATGCAGAATCTTTTGGGGTCTGCCTTTCTTCAGCAGGTTTGACTAAAATTGACCAATAAGTGTAGAAAATATTGGAGGAGGGGACTGAGAATAGATGGAAACCAGCTGAAAGCAGAAGTGTGATGTTCCCTGAGGAGGCCGATGGTCTGTATGAAGGCAGCTCCTTGTTTAGTTCCAAGTAGATTTTATGACAATTGCATGAGATAAGCAGCTTTTTATCTGTATTTATTCCAATCTGGAATCCCTACGTGGTGATTTTCCAAGGGCAGCCAAGTTGTGAAGCGTTTCATTCAAAAGACACATCTTGATCAGTGATTTGGTGTGTGCTTTTCTGTAGGTACAGAGCTGGCTGTTTATGAATTGGTAGAGAAGCTGTTCCAGGGCCAGTTAGTGCTGAGAACAAGATGCTTGGAGTGCGAGTGCTTCACTGAGAGGCGAGAAGATTTCCAGGACATCAGTGTTCCAGTGCAAGAAGATGAGCTTGCTAAAACTGAAGAGAGTTCTGAAAGTAAGTAATTATCAAAAAGGGTTGTGATGTGTCTTTTTCTGCTTCAGCCAGCCACTGAGGCAGGACAGTGCTATAGTTATGGAGGAACACTGCTCCTGTTTGTGCTGGTTAAAATTAGAGGCTGCTCTGTTTATCTCTTGCCCTGATTAACTTTAGACTTTGGAAATGCAGGGTTGATATCATGACAGATCTGGGCAGTAGGAAGATTGTTTCAGATCTTATAACATGGGCTGCTTATAGTCCTTCACTTACATAGATGTTTTCCTTACATTTTATTTGGGTCTCTCTGTGTTCTTCATGGATAAGAAATTCTTCTGCTTTTTCTTCACTTTATAAGATATAGCTGCACTTTTTCCCCAAAAATAAAAGAAATGAGAAGCCAGCTTTTTTTTTTGTTTGTTAATTTACCATAAAGATTGACTTTTTCAGTATTTTAGACAGTCATTGCCTAATAGCTTTTATCATTGTAAATGATAATCCTCTGGTATCTTCCATGAATTTTAGTGATCTGCACTTAATTTTTAGCTGTTCTCAAAAGTACATGTAGTGGCAACAATACATTTCTGAATTCAGAACTTGAAAGAAATTAATTTTAGTTCACAGGGACATAATTTGGAGCAGCTTTTACTGTCTTTTGCCCTCCTTGTTTTGCTGAAGGACTTCACAGCACATGTTGTGGTGTTCATGTGTGAAATGCCACCAGTGGCGTAGGTGTCACTGGCACTGGGAAGCTGTCAGGGGAGAAATGTGTAAAAAGTGAAAGGGAACTTCCTTGTGAAAGGTTATTTTGGAGGTTTGTCTTCATGAGTGAAAGTCTGATCTCAAACACACCCCCTCAGTTTCCAGCTATGGTGGCAGAATTGGTACATGCAATCTGAAGACAAGCTTTGGGAAAACCATTGATTTTAAGTAATAACCATTAAATGGTGTTTTCTTCATCTCCTGAAATGATTCAAAGATCTGAATACATTGTATGGAATCATACATCCTGAGTGCTCTTTGCAGTGGTGGTGGTAGCTTTTGAACATGGCTTCATTTGACATGCTTTGTTTTGTAGTGGAAATGTAAGTAGCAGCATTTCTGTGAATGTTAACGATTCTCTTTTATAGTTTCTCCAGAGCCAAAAACAGAAATGAAGACTCTTAAATGGGCAATTTCACAGTTTGCATCAGTGGAAAGGATTGTGGGAGAGGATAAATACTTCTGTGAAAACTGCCACCACTACACCGAAGCAGAACGCAGCCTTTTGTTTGATAAAATGCCTGAAGTTATCACGATTCATTTGAAGTGCTTTGCTGCTAGTGGCTTGGAGTGAGTATGCAGATTGACTGTTACAAACCTGGGTGCTGTTGGAAAGGGAATCTTGCCACAAGAGCTGGCAATGCTTTGTAATTTTTCCAAAAGCAAGATTTCTAGGTTGAAATTACTTTCCATCCCTGGGGGACAGCCCCTGATTTCCTAAAGGCTTTCTACAGTAGTGGCAGAAATTACCTCCAGAAGAATTTAATGAGATTTCTTAACAAAAGTTAGGTTTTGTATATTCTCTCAACAGCCTGATTTCCTGATGTTTCTTAAAACTTTACTTCTAGTATTCCATCTGTGTGAGTCTCTTAGAGGCAGGTTGAAGTACTTTAGCAGAATGAGAAATGAGAACAAAAACTGAATGTTTTGATCACAGCTGGTGGTACTTTGGTCTCTTAACTAAACATGAGTACTAAAATTCCAGGAAAAAAATAGGAGATAAAACATTTTAGAGATCTAACAGTACAAAAATCCTTTAAAATACAGTAATGTCATTGATGCTTGCTGAGCAATCAGTTTGTTATATACTCTAGGAATCCTTATGTTTTGAAAGAGATTATTCTTAGGAGAGTTCTTTACCTTTTTTCACATTTAGGAATTTGGGGAATTTTTTAGGAAGGGAGAAAAAAAAACACCAGAAAAACTGAGCCCCCCAGTCCCTGCAGTACTGTACATAAATGAAACCATGCCACGAGACTGTAAGCACAGCATTTTGCAGCAAACTCTGTTTCTCCACTGAGAATCAAATAGTGAAAAGTGACAGAAGGCTTCATCGGGCAAAACTTCACTTAAATGATAAAAATATTACCCCAGATCCTTCAGAAAATTGTTAAACCATTCATAATGTTTTTGGGAGTGACTATACAGTTTTAGTGACATTTGGAGACTTTTGCCTGTATTTTCCACTTTGCCTGTATTTTCAAGTTTTTCAACTAAAACAAAACTTTTGCTCTCTGCATTAACTTTGCTGGTTGCAGCCACAGAAGATAAACTTGTGTGGGTTTCAGCATGCCCAGCTGGCATCTGCTGCAGAGAGGCTGCAGCCTGGGTTTTATCACCTGATGGCCAGTGTTTTGAGGTTTCAACACTGAGCTGCTTTGTGAAAGTGCAGTCAGTTATTTAGGCAAGAATTAGCTTGGCCTTTCATCCACCTGGTTCCCTGTGGTTTGCATTTTCCTGTTGGTTGGCTTTAGACCTTTGGAGGCACCTTGCCAGCAGGAAGTTGAATGTGTGAAGTCTTCCATGGAATTGAGTTTATAATATTTGTGTCATAGATATGTTTTAGAGTGGGAAGTGCACAGAACCTTTGGCACTACACAGATCCAAGATCTAAGCTGGCAGAGGATGCTCTATAAACAAGTGCTGATCACTGCTCAGTACAGATCAGGTTTGTAAAATAATGATTGGCAAGGATTCTGTTAAGACAATGCTACAGGAAGTTTGTTGAGATTGTTAAAACTAGAACTCTGTTTTTAGTTTTGGAGCATATGTTTCTGACAGAGTAGAAAGGAAACCTCTCTGTAATGTCTGTTAACATCTCTTCATAAAAGTCTAGGATCATAACACAGGAAATTCTTTTCATTGTTCTACAGAATTTTTGAGTCACAAGGCAGAGAAAAGGTTGCACACTTTAAAAAAAAAAAATCATAATGCTATTGTTGAGTAGCCCTTGATGAGAGATAGTATCCTGCTATGATTCTAGGCTGTTCAGAAAAATACAACCAGAGATGTTCACCTGGAAGGAAACTTGAGTATTATCTTCAGCTAGCTCCTACATTTGCTATGTTTTTATTTTTATAAGGAAATGCTTGCAGGTTAACCAACTGTCTCCTGAATCACTTACCTCTTCTGTCCTGGCACTCTTCAGGTCCTTGCTCCAAGATATTCAGATACCTAGGTCAGACTGAATCCAGTCTCTTGTGATGTTCCTCGTGTGTCCTCTGAATCATGTCATGCATTTTCTGCCAAGTGCTAGCAGCCAGAGATTAGGGAAGTAAAGAGTGGAAAAATCAGATGTGGAACTGGAGTCAGTGATGAAGCTGCAACTGCTTGGAAGATGGTTTCCCAGTTTTTCATTCAGACGTTTTATCTTGGAAAAGGCCATGTAATTTCTAAACACATTGATCCAAAGTAGTAAAATGCAGCTGCAAATCAAGAGAGGAAGAGCCAAGGCTGGTAAACCAAAGCACTGGCTCATGCCATGGTAGCCAGTCACTCAGGGTGGCTTCTGAACAAGGAGCTTTGATGGAGTTTCCCCCAGCTGACTTGTAACATGAGTTGTAAAACTGCTTCCCTCTTCACAGATGAGTTGGCAGGGGTTTACCCTGAAAGCAGTAACAGACTGTTTGCTGGTGTTCAACTAAGATTTTTAAACTCTGAATCTTCACACAACTTTTCTTAGCTCCCATAAAAATTTTGAAGTCTTGCCTGCTTCTCAGTTGTGCTCTACTGAGTTTTCTGATGACTGAGTTTTAAACAAATGAAGAGAGATGAAGCAGAGGGGAAAAGTAATGTCAATATTTGCAGGTAGTAGGGATTTGCTTCATCTCTTCTAGATGCTGGCTTGCAAAGTGGATTGTTTTGTTGCTTTTTTTAAAATAAATCAGCCAGTGTGAAAATCTACTTGCCTGAGGATGAGTAATTCTCTTTGGCAAGTGTGTGCATGCTCAAACTCCAAAACTATTAAGATGACGTGTAACTGGTAACATCTAACTAAGCATTTCCACTATGTAAATGTAACAACTGGTGAGGAAAATCTAGGTTTTTGTCTTGCAAAATGGTGTCGGGCAAGAGCAGGTGATTTTTATTATTTTTTTTAAAAGGCTTAATTTGCCTATTAGTGACAACAGTGCTTATGCCACTGGAAATCTTTTAGTTTGGAGTATTTCACATCCTTACGTGTTCAGAGTGTTGCAGTAAAATAGCTTAAGTCATTCAGGGTCTGTAGTAACTTGAGATATTAATTCAGTGCAGTGGATAAAGTTCCACTAATTGATGGCCTTAAAAGAGGTAGCTGCAGAAATTAAGTTTGTTGTGTATTGAACTGCTGTGCACCAGTGAGAGGAGGCAGAGTACTTGGCATGCAATTTTTCTGTCTTCAGATTCTTATTAAGAAGAACAAAAAGCTAATAGGAAAAGATTTCCTCTTATTTCCTCCTCTCCACATCTTTCTGATGCTGGATCTCATTCAGAAGAAAGGTAGAGCTTGTTTTTTAATGTTGTATGTTGATATGATTGTCACAGTGTGCTTGAGTGGAACTGGATTGCTGATCAAGAGCATCAGCGAGCAGTTTCCCTGTTTCTTGACTCTCTTCTGAATATCTCTATTTCTGGCTACTAATAATAGGGATTTTCAGAAGATATAAGTTTTTTTTATTATTATTATTTCTGATTCTATGCTATTTTGTGTTTCTTCTAAAATGAGGTTTCAATTAATCAGACTTGAGTGACTGAGGACCCCTGTGTGTGTGTAAATGTATTTATGTTTACCAGGGTTTGTGGCTGTGACTGTGAGCCAAATGTTTAGAAGCAAAGCAGAATGAAAATTAAACCCAGGAAAACAAATAATCTGCCATTATGCTTATACTGTTACAACATAGCTACAATTCCCTTGGATTAAAGATAGTTATGATAAAATGCAAGTTGATTAATAGTAGTTAGCTCTCTGGAACCAAAGTTTTACAGGGTTTGTCTCTATTCCCCTGCATTTTTCCCTCCAAGACCTTAACAGTTGAGCAAGACTGAATCATCACTGAAATCAATTAGGCCATCATAACATATCATTAAATGAAGGGGTTAATTAAATTGGGCTGAGGCAATATGTAAATCATCTAAGATTAGAATCACTCAAGGAGGCTAATACACAATGAAGTCCCAACATTTACTTTCTTTTCAAACTCTGTGGAAGATTCTTATTGTAATGGAAGGACTTCACCTTTTCTCATTGTAAATTTGCGCACTATGAACAAAATGTTAGCTAGAGAACCCTGGATGCTCTCCCAAAGTAAATCAGGTAGAGAATTGTTTGAAAAACCTGAATAACATGGGACAGCTAAACAAGAATCCCTAGTAATAGTAAAGTGTTAGTAACTTACTCACCCTTGGATAACTGTTGCATTGCCATTGGCAGTACACTAAGGTGATCTGAGAAAAACTACTTGTTTTTTCTGAGTGACATTAAAGTGACTTGGAAGTAAAATAGACTTGTATTCCTTTATTAAGTAAATTACTTTCAAAGGTTTAGAAAAAAAACCCAAAGCCCTAACCCTGCTTACTTCAGCCTCAGATGCTGAGGTTTTGGGTTTGGATCTGGGAAGCAGGATATGAGCTGGGGAAAAGTGCTGAGTGCTGGTGCACAGAATCACAAACAATAACTGAACAATTGGGTTCACTCCTTTTTATCGTCACTGTTTAAAAATGAACTTGAGTCGATGCTTCAGAAAAAGGGACTCTCTCAAGCAGTTAAGATCCATAGTTACTAGGCTGTAAGATGTAAGATTACATACATAAAAATGTCTGTCCTGAAGAGGGATGCCTGGGGCGGATGCTGCTGATAAGCATGTTGAACAGTGAGCAGCTTTGCACGTTGATGTCACCCAGGTCTTTTTAATAGAAGAACTATAACACATAGGCTACCTAAAGTAGTATTTAGTATGAGCTGTGTGCAAGAGGCCTTAACTTTACCTTTCTTCTGAAGGTTTGATTGCTATGGTGGACTGTCCAAGATAAACACTCCCTTGCTGACGCCCCTCAAACTGTCCCTAGAGGAATGGAGCACGAAGCCAACCAACGACACCTACGGGTTATTCGCAGTGGTGATGCACAGCGGCATCACCATTAGCAGTGGACACTACACAGCCTCTGTCAAAATCACAGATCTGAACAGCCTGGAGCTAGACAAGGGAAATTTCATCACTGCCCAAACGTACGACGCCATTAAACCAGAGCCCCTGAGCGAGGAGGAGGCGAGAACTGTCGCCGAAGACTACGACGACAGTGAAGTCTCCTTCAGAATCAATGGCAACGCCCAGCCAGGGAAAGCTCTCAACAAAAAGAGCATGGAGGCTGTCGGCCTTCTCGGGGGGCAGAAGAGCAAGCCTGACTGTGACCTGTACAACAGCAAACCGCCCAACCCCGAGAAGTTCCTGAGCGTGGCGAGCGAAGCCCGGAACGCCGAGCCTGGCAGCAGCCCCGGGGGCGGCGCGGAGCACGGCCAGCAGGAGGGGGCTGCTGCCCGGGGCCTGGAGAACAAGGCTCTGTACGTCCTGCAGGGCCTCAGGGAGTACGAGGGTAAGTGGCTGCTCTTCGACGACTCAGAGGTGAAGGTGACAGAAGAAAAGGACTTTCTGAATTCGCTTTCTCCGACGTCGTCGTCAATGTCGACTCCTTACCTACTGTTTTATAAGAAGATTGTAGAGTGATACTGTATTTTGACTGTAAATATTAGGGATTTGCATACACCTATTATTTAGTCTGATTTGCATTAAAACTACCTGGAAGAAACGACTGTTCTGTTTGTTTTTTTGAAGCTACTGGATCATAATGTTTCTGGTCTTGTTGTTCGGTGTTAAGTGGCTCAACTTGAATTAACAAACCAAGACATAGAACTTAACTTGCATAACAACTTCTATGCTGGAGAATAGTGATATTACCTGCTAGAAATTCCAATTTGTATAGTTCCTAAACGATGCCTACAGTACACGGTAGTGGTTTTAACACAACTCTGTTTCAGACATGCCTATTGTATTATTAGCTACTTTTTCTTTTTTTTTTAAATAAAAGTTATTTGTATTCATATCCTGGAGTAAATGTATATTAACTAGCAGATTTCCTCAGAAGTTGTGTATTTTTGTAACTTGGGAAGTATTACTTCATATTTAGTCTTTGGGTAATGGCTGTGGTTTATTCTCCTTATCCAGTTCTGTACTGCTTGGTGCAACTTGAAGCACAAGAAAAGGGTCTTGTAACCTTGTTTAGTGTATTGGAAGGAACTGAACTTAATAGAAATGTTTGAATGGTCTGATTTGCATCTTATTGCCTAGGTGTTCAATGGGCAAAGTGTAAATAGGTGTGATTAATACTTCAAAACAGAAGGAGCGTGTAGTGTAATTAAAATAATTTTGTACTTTAAAGCCCTCTAATATGCATATCTGTTTGGGTGGATTTGGAACTTAGTGGTGATCTTATAACAGTTAATTTGTACTTTGAGCTCACTTCAAATGTGGGAAAATGAAAGAAGCATTTGGTTTTGATGCTTTGTTAAAGACTGTATATATGAAATAAAAAAAATTTATGATATGCTTCTGAGATGACCAGACTTGTGTTTGGAGAGGGAAAAGTGGACAGTGAAAGTGGCTGTGTGCTGTTACAAAAAGGTTGGGAAACTATCATAGAGAAATGGGAGATCTGAAGTGATTTAAAAAAATCACATTCTCTGTTTTTTAACCAGTTCTTGTATGGCAGATCCTCATTTGAAGGCCCTGGATGACTAGCGATAAGGCTCAGAGGCAAGAAGAAAAGGAAAACCAATTGTTGTAAAAACAAGTGAATGATGAGCACTAAATGCTAGGGATTAAAATCCAATAATCTATTAGATTCTAAGAAGTTATGGTGAATCTTGTGAACTGCAGACGATTAAAATCTTAAAAATATGACACAAAATAGGATGAGATTCTGCTGTTACAGGATGGATGGAATGACATGAAAAGCACTTCTGCAAACAAGGAAGATAGATACTCAAGATGTGAGTATGCCCTAGTTTTCTGGCTGTATTTACACTTTTTCAAGTACAAATTATTTCTTTACAGGAAAAGCCTTAGAAACCTCCACCTAGTTTATTCTGCAATACTTTGTATTCTGCAATTTTTTATTAGCATGTAGTATTAGCACTGAGGTAACTCATGGAAAAGACCTTTAGTGTGCTTCCCATGTTATGGTGGACCTGGTTTTTGTACAGACCTCCATTTGGCACTATAGCCTAGATGATGAATTACTAAAGTAAATAGAAAACAGTGTAAGAAAGGCTGGACTAAACTCAGAGTCACTTATAAACTCATGCTGAATGTCTCCAGTAATTATCTTCTGCAGGTGAGAAAAATCTGGAATTTCCAATACACTTTTCCAGAGCACTGTCACAATAATAAATTGTTCCATAGTCTAAACCAAGCAATAGCTACATAAAAAAAAAAAAACAAAACAACCAAACCAAAACTGTAATCTTACCTTGCAAGATAGCCAGATCACACAGTGCTATTTTTTTTTACTGCCTGCAGTATGGGGTTTGTTGAATTTCAGCCTGTAAATGAAAGTTGATTTTTCCACACTTGATCCAAGACTTATCTTTTCATTCAGCTACAGGAACAGGAAATGTCCCAAGGAAACAAAATACCATATATTCAGCAAAATACTGGCTGGGGTGCAATGGAAGGAAGATGGAGCTGTCTTCCATCATAGGATACAGCCTGAGAGCGACAGTCTCAGAGACAGCTGACCAGAAAACCATCAGCTGGAATATGCTGAATGAAACAAAACCTTCCCCAGCATATGAATGGATGAGATGGGGTAGGCTTTTTGGAGGCTTACTCGGGTCAAAGCACTTGCCACCCTTCTGAAGAGTCCTTTGCCCTATTAACAGATGTCCTGTGTTGCACGTGGCCTGGAGTTTGCTGTGATGCTGGACAAAATGTGCCTGCCCAGCCCTACACGAGCTCCGGTTG